CCATGGGACCCGCCCCGCCCAAGCCCTGAAGGGAGGCTTTTGCTGGATAGCCTAAGGCAGAGGCTAGATTAGCACCTCCCTAGAGATCCAGGAGCCAATGTACCCAGAGGTCAGAGTGGGACCATCCAGCTTGCAGCTCCTTGGATCCATAAAGGACACACTCAGGGGGCAGACTCAGTAAGCACCAAAGCCCCACTGAAGCAAGTCTTGCCCTGGAGGGGTGTCTTCGGCACAGAAGTTCTCCCACTGCAGACACAGCTGATTCTCACAGCCAATTGGCCTGGAGGTCAATTCCTTCCAGTGATACCTACGACAATCAAGGCTTAACTACAAGACTGTGCACAAAGACCATAGGGGGTGCACCAAGAGTGTCCTCCTCAGGTAATTTGGGAGACTGAGCCCTAGAGGACACTCAGCACAGAAAACCACTTTATCAACACAGGGAAGCATAAAAAATGCGGAGACAAAGAAAAAAGACAGAAATGACAGAAATGCAGGAAAGCAAACTACTGGATATAGAGTTCAAAACCACACTTTTAAGGTTTTTCAAGAATTTCCTAGAAACTGCCGATAAACTTAATGAGACCTACAAGAAATCTAATGAGACCTTGAGGTTGTGATAAAGGACCAACTAGAAATTTAGCATACACTGACTGAAATAAAGAATATTATACAGACTCCCACCAGCAGACCAGAGGATCGCAAGAATCAAGTCAACAATTTGAAATATGAAGAAGCAAAAAACACCCAACCGGAAAAGCAAAAGGAAAACACAATCCAAACATACGAAGATAGTGTGAGGAGCCTCTGGGACAGCTTCAAGCGTACAAACATCAGAATTATAGGGGTGCCAGAAGATGAGAGACAGCAAGATATTGAAAACCTATTTGAAGAAATAATGACAGAAAACTTCCCCCACCTGGTGAAAGAAATAGACTTACAAGTCCAGGAAGCGCAGAGAACCCCAAACAAAAGGAATCCAAAGAGGACCACACCAAGACACATCATCATTAAAATGCCAAGAGCAAAAGACAAAGAGAGAATCTTAAAAGCAGCAAGAGAAAGACAGTCAGTTACCTACAAGGGAGTACCCATACGACTGTCACCTGATTTCTCATCAGAAACTTTGCAGGCCAGAAGGGAGTGGCAAGAAATATTCAAAGTGATGAATACCAAGAACCTACAACCAAGATTACTTTATCCAGCAAAGCTATCATTCAGAATTGAAGGTCAGATAAAGAGCTTCACAGATTAGAAAAAGCTAAAGGAGTTCATCAACACCAAACCAGTATTACATGAAATGCTGAAAGGTATCCTTTAAGAAGAGGAAGAAGAAGAAAAAGGTAAAGATACAAATTATTAACAACAAATACACATCTATCAACAAGTGAATCTTTCTTCAACAAGTGGCTTTCTCACTCAACAACTGAATCAGAAAATCAGGTGAATAAATTATCTGATGAACAGAATAAACTGGTGATTATAATAGAATCAGGGGCATAGAAAGGGAGTGGACTGACTGTTCTTGGGGGGGGGAAGGGTTTCGGGGATGCAGAAAAAATCAGGACAAAAATTGGGCCCCTATGGTTGAAGACAGGGGGGGGGGGGGTGAAGGTGGAGGGGGCGGTGGGAACCGGGTGGAGGGAAGCTATGGGGGGAAAAAGAGGAACTGTAATAATTTGAACAATAAAGATTTAATTAAAAAAAAAAAGAAGAGATAAAGAATTATAAAAAAAAAAAAGATGAGAGGGAACCAAGATAGCGGCGTAAGGTACAGACCTGTGCGTGCTGCCTCCCACAACTACATTGAAAATACCAACTATAAGACAAAACAGCTCTCATTCAGAATCATAGGAAAGCTGGCCCAGTGAAAGTTGTACAACTGGAAGGAAAGAAAGAAGAGTATTGAGACTGAGTAGGATATGCAGAGGCACCAAGAACAGAGGTATGAAGTCTCGTGCCAGGCGGGCTGCAACTGGATGTGCGTTTTTTTTCAATCGGAAGGGGTTACAAACTCTCCAATCCACTGAGCTTGTTTGGGGCGGGTTGCTGAGGCCCCAGACCCCTACAGGGAGAGGCGGGACGGCCTTGCTGTGGGTCAGAAAGCAAGAGTGGCTTTCTCGCGGAGCTGCTCGCCGGCAATAGGGGACACGGAGACGCAGGGAGGCTAGGAGTCTCGGAGACGCCACTGCTGTTTCCTCCGCCCTAGTTATTCCGAGACCCCACCCTACTGAATTTACATCCCAACCCAAGCTGTGCCAGAGACACAAAAGGAACCACCTGCGCTTTTACAGCATCACCCAACAAACTGCAGATTTCAACTCCTCGCATCCATAAGGGACACACTCAAGAAGCGGGTTTTTTTCAATCAGAATGGGTTACAAACCCTTGAATCCACTGAGGTTGTTTGGGGCGGGATTCTGAGGTCCCAGACCCCCTACGGGGAGAGGTGGGACGGCCTTGCTGAGGGTTGGAAATCAAGAGTGGCTTTCTTGTGGAGCTGCTCAGCGGTACTTGGGGACGCAGAGACCCGGAGTGGCGAGGAGTCTCGGAGATGCCATTGCTGTTTGCTCTGTCCTGGTGATTACCTGAGATCCCGCCCTACTCAATTTACATAGCTGCCCAAGCTGTGCCAGTGGCACAAAAGGAACCACCTGCGCTTTTTCACCTTAACCCGACAGACTGCAGAATTCAACTCCTCGCACCCATAAGGGACACACTCAAGAAGCAGAATCAGGTTCGGAGGAAGCCGGAAACGGACCAGGCTGGGCCGGCAACATGGAACCACTGTACCAGCAAAAGCACAAACAGGTCCACCAGATCCAGTCTCCCAGATCCGGGAGAAGGCAGACAAGCAGTCTGTGCACTTAGTAGAAAACGAAATCCAAGCAAGCAACCAGATATTCAGCCAACAAGAACGCCTGGAGTATTTGTCCAGCCAGGAGCCACCGAACGAAAGATAGAATGCCAAACTTCGTGTTGACAAGTTAAAGTATGATGTCCAGCACCTGCAGACTGCTCTCAGAAACTTCCAGCATCGGCGACATGGAAGGAAGCAGGAGGGATAGCGAGAGGAGCTTCAGTCTTGCACCTTCACTCCCAACGTGGGATGCGGCGCCCCGTGAGGCTGCGACGACCCCTGCAAGGCTGAGACAGCCCCTCTGAGGCTGGGACGGTCCCTGTGAGGCTGAGACGGCCCCTGTGAGGCTGAGATGGTCCCTGTGAGGCTGCGACGATCCCTGTGAGGCTGCAATGGCCCCTGTGAGGCCGAACACAGGGACAGTTGGGTGGGGGGCAAGGGCAGAGGGTGGGGTTGGAACTGGGTGGAGGGGAGCTATGGGGGGGGGGAAGGGGAGCAACTGTAATAATCTGAACAATAAAGATAAATTTTTTTAAAAAGATGAGTTACTAATATATCTTTCTTTAATGTATTTTATTGATTTTTTTAAAGAGAGGAAGGGAAAGGGATAGAGAGTTAGAAACATCAATGAGAGAGAAACATTGATCAGCTGCCTCCTGCACACTCCCTACTGGGTATGTGCCAACAACCAAGGTACATGCCCTTGACCAGAATCAAACCTGGGACCTTTCAGTCCGAAGGCCGATGCTCTATCCACTGAACCAAACTGGTTAGGGCAAGTTACTAATATATGTTTAATAAACCTCCAATAATTTATGAAATATAAATTAAACCAGAAAAATACTTAGAAAAAGCTAAGCTCTCTATTAAAATGGAATGTAAATCCATGGTTACCAGAACAGCTGTGAAGAACAGGAACAGATTAAACGAGGTCCTGAAGCAACTACAAATTGACCGATGTGGTCAATATCATAACTGTAATGGTGGTTTCAGTTTCATGTACATGTCAAGATTTATGAAACACTATACTTAACGCATGTAATTTACTCATTACAGCTGTTAAAAAAAATGGTTCAAAATGAAACAGTTCACCTATTCTGGAAGAACAGGTTTGGCGCCTCTATATACAATCCCTGTACTTATGCCCTCTGAGTGAGAGTCTCATCACAGTGACAGAAAATGTAACAAACAATGAAGAACTTTCACCCAAACCCACAAAAGCCACGTCCCTGGACTAAAGACGGCTTTGTATCCACCTTGCTTTTGCTGTCAGCACACAAATGGCTCTGATGGGAACATCTGAGAAGCTACAGGAGCCACAAAACATCTTGATTATAATCGATGACAATGATGGCTCCAGGGAAGATAAACATCCCTGGAGTCCCTCAGGTCTGTGGACACACAGCTCTTGTAGTCTTTTCATCAAAATAATTCCTGGATGCCCAGTTAGGTGAGGACCCTTCCATCTAATGGGCTGCAGTCTCATCAAACAATAGGTCAGTGTTTCTGCAGTGAAAGGGTTTCCCTCACTCCTATGGTCCTCATACCAGTGACCATCACCCGTGAAATTGTAGGCATTAGGGCACATGGCCCTCTGCAAGACCTGCACAAGAGATCCCCTTCACATGTATTGGCATCCCTTGCAAACTAAAAAATTCATGCTCCCAGACATACTTGAGGTTGTTACAGCCACCCCCTCTTTGGAGTGATCTCTGTGTCTCAAAGCATCCAGCATCACATGAGCACAAGAGTCCACAGTGCTTCCTGAAAAATTATGGGCAGCAATGGAAATTTGGCAAAAACGGCTGAGCTAATTTCTGCACCATGGTCTTCCCCCAAGGGCAAAAATGTTTGAGACCGCATAAAAGTTTTTCACATCATCATGCTTGGACAGCCTAGATTTCCTTAGAAACTAACCCAAACAGTAAATAGAACATCCAAGATTAAAGACGTCTTAG